CTTGTATTTAAAAGCAAGTATACAGACTTAATAACAGTGTTCTCTTAGGTTGTTGAGGACTTGGAATTCAAATTAATTAGAATCCATTTTTTTTTTTTTTGCTCAAAGCTAGCACTCCACTGGTTTTGTCATACCTTCACTTCCAGCTTCTTTTCTATTTTACTATTATTTTTTATTAAGTAGTTGTACAAAGAGGTTTCAATTTCATATACTTCCAGCTTTTGGATGGTTAACTGGAGATATGAGTCTCACAGATTTCCTTGCCCAGGCTGGCTTTGAACTGTGCTTCTCAGATCTCAGTCTCCTGAGTAGCTAAGATTACAGGCGTGAGCTCCAGGCACCCGATGGAAGATGGCTTATTAAATCCTATGTATGGCTTTCTTTCTCAAGTCATGGGTCAATTAATTATATTGCAGCTGGATGCTGGTGGCTCATGCCTGTAATCCTAGCTACTCATGAGGCTGAGCTCTGAGGATCACTGTTCAAAGCCAGCCTGGGCAGAAGAGTCTGTGAGACTCTTATCTTCAATAAACCATCAGAAAACCAGAAGTGGCACTATGGCTCAAGTGGCAGAATGCTAGTTTTGTGGAAAAGAAGCTCAGGGACAGTGCGCAGGTCCAGAATTCAAGCCCCAAGACTGAAAAAAAAATTTATATTTCAATACTGAAGACTGAATCAACTTTTCTTACAGGTTTAATCCTGGTACCAACAATAGCCTGAAAATAGATTATTCTACCCTATTCTGCTGCAAAGACCTCTGACCATACTTTCTTGTCTAGATCAGTTTAATAATTCATTTATACTTGTAATGAGATTTTCAGTTGTATGCCTGTGTGTTCTTTAAAAAGTACCAAAATAAGTTGGGAGGAAAAATTTGCTTTCACATGTTTCAGTACATTTAAATTCATCTATTCTTGCGCTAGATTATACTTACTTGTGCTAAATCTCTTTCTTCCCTCCCCCACCTTGTTTCTTTAATGTTAGGAAGCATAGAAGATATTAAGTGCTGATCAGTGAAAGTAAATGCTTTAAAAGACTTAAACATTCAAAGGTCATAGGAATGATTTAAAAAAAAATCAAATCTCTACTTGGGAAAACAGCTAAAAGTTTAAGCAAAAAATAGCAAAGCAAAGCAAACATCAAAACTACCAAACCATCTCAGGCCTCCTCCGAAGAAAGAATATTTATTGGCTTGCATTCCTGTTTAAATACCCATTTGTTATCTTCAAATATAGTTCATACTGAGAACATTCCAATAAACGGCCCTGTCTGTGACTAAGAAAATACTCCAACTAATGATATGCAAAGGAATATCAGCAGAGCCAGGAGGCCAGGGAGGGAGGTCCTTATCTAAACAGTCCTGACTACAGCTGCCGGCGTCCTGGTGGCAAAGCAGCAGAGGTTGAACTCAAACCAGGACAAGTCTGGGAGGATTACTGCAAGCCATTGAGCTGCTCACTCAGGTGAGTACCATTCACTCTGGATTCCATAAACAGAGTACAGTGAATATCCTGGCAAGGGGGGCGGAGGGTGGGCTTCCTTCCAGTTAAAACTTGCAGTGGTTATTGCTGCTGCTGTGTGAGGATCAACCCCAGGCCCTTGCATGTGTTAGCAAGTGCTCTATCCCTGAACTCTTTGGATTACTATGGTTTAGAATTCCACTGTCTCCTTAGCTGATTGATAGAAAGTAGAGATGTTTTGTTACATACTAGAAGCAGGGGACACAAAACTTGAGAGTGAATTCAAATGTTTTCGTGTGTTTGTTTTAATGAGCCTAACTTTCCCATGTACATATAAGCCAATATTTTCAGTTTTTTTTCTTTTTTCAACACTTTGATCTCTTTTTTAAGTTTTCCCAAGGTCTTAATTTTTGTATAACAAAATATAGAGAAATAGAAAGGGAGAGAATATCTCCTGCTCCCTATGCAGAAAATGGGAGTTAAAGACCGACTCTCTCTCTTCTCTCTCCTCTCCTCCCCCATCTCTGTCTCTGCCACGCCCCCAGGCTGCTTGCTTTCTTTTTAGGTGGGGGTGGGTCAGGTCTGACCACGTAGCCCAGGCCAACCTCAAACTGCCGGTCCTCCTGCCTTAGCCTCCTGAGTCCAGACCTCCACCTCCATGTTCTGCATGAAATTTTGTTTTTGTTTTTTGTCTTCTATTTGTCTTTTGTTTGCTTGCTTCTCTGCGCTGAAGATGGAACCCAGAGACTTCAGCATGTGACACAAGCACTTTGCCTCTGCTCTAACTCAACAAGAACATGTGTGTGTGTGTGTGTGTATGTGTGTGTGTGGCACTGGAGGTTGAATTCAGGGCCTTGAACATACCAAGCAAGCAATCCACTGTGGGAGCTACACCCCCAGCAATAATAAGAACAATTGTATTCCAATCCTGATTTCTTTCAGGTTAGCTTTTCAGGTTAAGACTATACCCCACAACATGCTATTTTCGTTAACATTTTGCTTTCATTTTATTTTATTTTGGAGGCTGGGATTGAAACCAGGTTCTCGCCCATATTAGACAAGCACTCTATCACTGAGTTACACTATTAACCCATGTAAACATGATTTTATTAAAGAAAAACAAGTCTGTGACATCATGTCTGCATAAGGGCAGTTTTCTCATTAGGGGACACCTCTCTGCATTGTCATAGTGTCTTGTAGCACAGGGAAACTGAGCCAGTGACAGATATTACCCCAAAATACCAAAAGACTCAGGTCTGTTTATTTACCTATCACTTTTTAGGTGCTAGGAATTAAAAGCCAGGACCTTGTTAATGCTAAGTATGTGCTCTCTAACTAAGCTACACCTTCAACTCAAGGTTAATTTAATTCACTTGTGCTCTTGTCCTTAGACAATTATATTTATTAAC